AATGCATAAAAGCAAAAAAAAGAAAGGGTTTCTTCTTAGGGTCCATTTGGGAGTTTCATAATAGTGGTTATGATGGTAAACCACCGTAACGGTTTTGAGGGATTTTAAGTAGCGGTTTTTAAAACAGCCAACCTGTGCTTGAAAGTTTATTTTCTAACGGTTTTGACAGTTTTCTAAAATGATAAATTTACATATATGCCAATAAAAATACCTCAACTTCAACAAGTTTTTGAGAGTTTTGTTTTTTCGATTACAAAGTAAAAGTTCTTTATTTGTTTTTCACTTAATAGTATTTTATAATTTTAAATGTGATAAAGTCTTCTTATCCTTTTTCGCCATTCTTTACAGCATTTAGAATGATTAAAAAATTATAGCTCGACTTCTCCAAGAAAGCATACAGAAATGAGATTTTAATAATTTTTTTTTATTATCTAAAATTATTTTATATTTAATATGGTTAGAGACACATATAATATAGTTATCTTTTATATATATATATAATTTGGTTAGTTTTGTAGTAGATATGATATTTGTCGAATAAAATTTTAAAACTAATCATTTAGGGTGTTTTAAAAATATACTATATTGGTTTTAAGGGATTTTTAAGCTAGTTAAAACCAGTACATAACAAATCTGGTAAGTAATAGTTTTAAAATACCTTAAAACCAATCTAACTAAAAACTACTTTAAAAAAAAAAAAAAAACCTTAATCGCAGACCCTTAAGGTAACAAGGAAGCAGTTACTGGAAGGAGAACGGAGTGTAAAAAATCAAGGCTTTAAATGACAAAAAAGTAAATTGAGCCAAATGAAGAGATGCTTTATTTTTTTATTTTTTCATTCTTTTGAGTTTTGACAAAACAGAAAGCTGCATAAGTGGTGAGATAATGTCAGGCTATTTTATAAAGTAATAAACATATTTAGATGCCAAAAGATAAGGGTGATTTTGGCAGACATGTGATAACGATGTGATCCTGTTCAGTCTCTTACAATACTTGGTAATGACTTTCACATGTTCTGTCCCTTCTCACTTAAACCCCCCACCAAAATCCCCTAAGCCCTAACCCTAATTTAACCTCCATCAATCTGATTTTTCTTTTCTTTTATTTTTCAATATACATATAATCTGTGGGTATGCTTCTATACTCCATCTTTCATTTCACGAATTCAGTGCTCATACATATTAAAATATGTAAATAAGAATGGGATTGAAGTCTTGAAACTTGGTGGAAATCTGCAAGCGATGATCTCATTCTCACCTCTCCATGTTCATACTTTTAAACAATAATTTATTGCAGATTGGTCATGTTACCGTCAACATATTAATTAGATGCAGCGAGGTTAGTTAAAAATATGAACAAAATTAAATCCTTTGTCTCCTAACTTTAAACCAAACTTACCCACTGAATAAATTGACCAAACTTCCACATGATGCTTGAGTTTTTGTCCTTAATTTCAAACAACATTTTTTTCTCAACAAAATCCCATTTTAATTACAAAAATTTGAACATTGTATAAAGCAATTTGAATCTTTAAAATGCAATATTTAATTAAGATTTCGTTTTTTTTTTTATAAAAGAAGAAAAAAAAAAAGAGAGTGAAGATTGCAGGCGTCCAAAAAGAAAAAGTTGTAGAGATTACAGTCCACTTTATTTTTTTTGTTTTTAGTTTCAGAAATCGATACATGATATTCATTTTTTTAATCCCACATCGGTGAGCTCAAAATTCATTATCTACTCTTGGCTCGCTTCATTTTTTTATTTGGGCTTATTAACTTGCGGCCCAAAAATTGGGGTGGTCTCCACAGTCCTCCTTTTCTAATTAAACCCCACTTATTTTATTGACTTAAATAAGGCTATAATTGTAAAATCCATATTGAACTAGGGTTAACGTCATATACACCTCTTATCTCGTATCAATGTCACATTTCCCTTAAAGCTAGTGAAGTTGATGGTTTCCACCACGCCATTAATCCTTTTTTTTTTATTCATTTACCATAGTTTTCACAATTTAATGTTGTTTTATGAGTTCTTAAGTTTGAAAAAACGAGTCATGTATAATACAAAATAAGACTATAGAATCTGATGATGATAAACGGTTGGTGTTGTAAACAAGAAGAATGTGTTTCTTTTAAGAGTGAGGAAAGTGAGTACAAACAATGTTTATTGAAGAACACATATTTTCTATTTGTTATTAGAGTTAACGACTTTTTCCCACTCAAATAATATCGTAACGATACTTTTTCACCTATAGACTTTTAAAATACCATTTTACCTACCCAAATTTATATTCTAACGACGAACAAAGAACAAACCCAGTTCAGGTCGTTGGGGTTTTGAAGAGGAGAGGCTGATGAATCTTTTGGTAGTGAAAGGTTGAATTTTAGGGGTTTGGATTGATCGAAATTTGATTTGAAATGGGCGACTGCGCAAATACTAATTGCTTGATTGTTGGCAATTGGCAGGATCGGCTGGAGTAGGGTTTGAAGAGTTTTGGTGAGTGATGATTGGGGAAGAGAATGGTGGTGGTGTGGGGTCACAACAATGTCAGAATTGGAAATAAAATATAAATTTGTGTAATAAAATAGTATGTTAAAAGTTTATTGGTAGGTAAATGTCATTAAGCCATTATTTAGGTGGGAAAAAGTTGTTTACTCTCGTTATTATAATTGGAAGTGATTTTTAATCTATATTTAATGAGTTAACGACTTTTTCCCATCCAAATAACAGCTTAATGACACTTTTCATCTCACAAACTTTTAAAATACCACTTTATTACTCAAATTTATATTTTGGCAACAAACAAAGAGCAAACTTGGTCCAGGCTACTGGGACTTTTAAAGAGAGGAGGTCAATAAGTCTTTTAGTGGCACAAGGTTGGATTTAGGTGATTGGGGTTGGTTGGAACTTGACTTGGTAAGAGTGGCTACTCAAACCCTAATCACTCAATTGGCGAGGACGGCAGGAGTAAGGTTTAAGAGGTTTTGGTGAGTGATGATCAGAGAAGAGAATGGTGGTGGTATAGGGTCGTAACAATGCCAGAATTATAAATAAAATAGAAATTTTGGTAGTAAAGTAGTAATTTAAAAGTTTGTGGGTGGGAAATGTCATCATTTGGGTAAGAAAAAATCGTTTACTCCCTATCTAATTGATCTTCAGTCTTCACCCCATATGGTTAAAGTAAACTTTTTTTATAATTAAAAACAAAAAATCCCTTTAAAATTTAAACCCCATTTAATATCGAAAATCAAAACAAAAATATAAAATAAAGTATGAGTGTATTTAAAAATTATAATGGTACTTCTGGTAATTTAAATCAAGGTTAAATATGTCAGAACAAAAATTAAATGTAAAAGTGGGGATTGAAGATCAATTAGGTCTTCCCTGTTACAAAATTATCCTTATTTTAGAATTATACTCAGTTTGATCCAAACATGGGCTGTATAATTGACAACTTTAAGGCCTGCTTCAGCAAATCTGCTGGGGCTCAAGCCCATATTCCAGAAAAACTCTCCAGTGGTTCGCTTCTCTAAATTCTAGCCCAATCTTGACTCACGAAATAATTTGTTTAATTATTTTTTTGATAACCCGGGCCAGTTTGTACGCAACTTAATTAATCTTTAGGGTCTATTGAGAACCTTACAAACCCAATATTCAGGAAATCAATAAAGGGAGCAAACCTTCAAGACTAGGGGCGGATCCAAAGTACATGGCCCACTCAAATTAAAAAAAATATATATTTATATGTAACTTTTTTTTTCCTTTTATGTTAATTTCAACTAAAAACATAGAACATGACTATCATATGCTATTACATTTTATTTTGGCCCACCCCAACAAGAATTTATGGATCCGCTACTGTTCTGGACCATCACGCCAACTCATTGCGGTTAATTTGTTTAATTATTATATGACACTAGAACACAACTCAATTAAAATGCATTAGCAAATATTAATACTGAATTATGTAATTAAATGGACAAAATCAAAATGAATTGTAGAATGTGTTAATATTCAAACCAACCTCACCTAACACAAAGAACCTTACCTCTAGGGAAGTATTTTTGTTTACTTTTATCAAAAGAAATTTGATTATTATCCACACACAGGTTGATGAGCAACCCCAATTTTCTAACCAACTTTCAACTCTTCTTGCAAGCTTTCTTTCCACACCCAATTAATCCGACTACTTGCAATTATTTTAGATTGCCCCATAACATTTTGAACAGTTCAATTCGAAACTACACTGTTCATACGTATTTCGACCGAGCAGGAATACGTATTTCTACAGTATTCCAATGTTGTAATTTGTTCTACAATGGTTAAATTTTTCGATCTTTAGTAGTAGCAGACTTAATAGTTGTAAACCGGCCGGCACTTTACTAGGGCAAATTAATTTATAAACAAGTAATTAACATCAACATCTACTTCGGTTTATTAGTTAATTATTTATTTAGAATCTATTAATCCAAGGAGCAGCAGAAAGGGACATGTAATTGAGAATTCCAACAGCAAAAATAATCCACTCTCTTCACATATTGACACGTTGACAGACTGAGATCAAGAGAAGACAAGCCTCAAATCTGGAAACAGTCCAAAATCGCCATTGAAATTCAGAAATTCCTCAGCAGCAACAACGTGGAAGGAGCCATTGTCACAAACTTTGTAAGCGTTTATATATATATATATATATAATTAAGATCATGCATGCATGGATATTAGAAATACGGCGGCTCAAGTTATCAAATAGTTAGTAACCTAATTAAAAGTAACACGTGGAAAGAGGCAAAGAGCTAAATTAATAAATACTGATACGAATTAAGGATTATTGTACGAGTAGACAAAGTTTGGTGGAGTTAAGTAATCAATCTTTGCGTAGATTAACGTGTCGTATAATCCTATTTTCTTTGCAGATATATCAACTTTAGCCATAGCGAAAGAAAAAAAAAAGTATATAAAGAGGTAGTTGTAAACTGATAAACTGCCTCATTCTTGCATTAGAGACATCAGTCAATCCAAACCTTAACCTCATTGCCTTATATTCTTATAACCATTTCATTCTCAAGCAAGTAGAACCAAAAATCATCTCATTTCATAACACAAACAAAGAGAAAACAAAAAGAAAATTAAACAAGGGAAATTAATGGAGAATTCATCCGTTGTTTCAGAGTTTGAAGGGACTCTTTTGAAAAACCCCGACCCCTTTTCGTACTTCATGTTAGTAGCATTCGAGGCATCCGGTTTGATTCGTTTCGCATTGTTGTTGATCTTGTGGCCGGTGATTCGGTTGCTAGACGTGTGTGGGATGGGCGATGCGGGGCTGAAGCTAATAATCTTTGTTTCCACTTGCGGCGTTCATGAGTTGGAGATTGAGTCAGTGGCGAGAGCCGTTTTGCCTAAGTTTTATATGGATGATATTGATATTGAGGCGTGGAAAGTTTTTAGTTCGTTTGATAAAAGAGTTGCGGTGACAAAAACGCCGCGGGTTATGGTGGAGAGGTTTTTGAAAGAGCATTTACGAGCTGATGAAGTAATCGGTAGTGAACTTTGGGTTAACCGATTTGGGTTTGCCACAGGTTTTACTAGAGGAGATTTTGATTCTATCTCTAATCGAGTTGCTAAATTGTTCATTGATGAAAACCCTACCTTAGGGCTAGGAAGAAATACTTCAAGTTCTACAATTTTATCAATATGCCAGGTAGCAATTATGGAAACTAATAAACATCTTGGTACTTTCCATTTTTGGCAAAAATGAGCTATTACACGTTAATTAAGTACTATCTATTTCATAATTAAGTAATAATCTTTTTTGTTGACAGGAACATAGGCAGCCACCATTCATCACCAACTTAAGGCACCATGACCACCAGGTGCTCCGCCCACTCCCAGTGATCTTCCACGACGGTCGCCTCGTGAAGCGACCGACGCCGTCGACTGCTCTCCTAATCATCCTATGGATTCCACTAGGCATAATACTGGCGATAATCCGAATATTCGTTGGCCTAATTTTGCCCATGTGGGCTATCCCTTACGTGTCACGTTTATTCGGCGGCAAAATAATCGTCAAAGGCAAACCACCACAGCCGGTAGCCGGTAGCAGCAGCGGGGTCCTCTTTGTCTGTACCCACCGAACCCTAATGGACCCCGTGGTCTTATCCACTGTATTAAGACGCCAAATCCCAGCTGTCACTTACTCTATTTCTAGACTATCAGAAATTCTATCACCAATCCCCACCGTTAGATTAACCAGAATCCGGCATGTTGATTCTGAAAAAATAAAAAGAGAACTCGCCAAAGGTGATCTCGTGGTTTGTCCAGAGGGAACAACTTGTAGAGAACCATTTTTACTAAGATTCAGCGCTCTTTTTGCCGAATTAACAGACCGTATAGTTCCTGTAGCCATGAATTATCGGGTAGGGTTTTTTCATGCAACAACAGCAAGAGGCTGGAAAGGTTTGGATCCGATTTTCTTCTTCATGAACCCGAGACCCGTTTACGAAGTCACATTCTTGAACCAGTTGCCGGTGGAGGCGACCTGCTCGTCCGGTAAAAGCCCACATGACGTTGCGAATTACGTGCAAAGAATTCTGGCTGCTACATTAGGGTTTGAGTGTACGAACTTCACTAGGAAGGACAAGTACAGGGTGCTGGCAGGGAATGACGGAACGGTGTCGTATCTTTCGTTTGTTGATCAGGCGAAGAAGGTGGTGAGCACAGTTAAGCCGTTCTTTCACTAAGAAAAAAGTATAAGAAATAAAATTGTTTTTTTTTTGTGTTGATTTTGTGGATTTGTTTTAATTCTGTATAAAGACGGGATCGATTTGTATTGTAATATTCTTTCTTTTATTTGTTTTTGAATTATTATTTCTACAATTGTTGAATAAAAGTACGAGGATAACTGATATTAATCAGTTAATATATCGTTAATGTCAGTTATTATAAACATTAAATACATCAACATCCAAATAATTTGAAGCTTATTCGATTTATAATTTTGGGGTAATGCAATTATTATTATTTTATTTAGAGCTACAGGGAAAAATATTGTCGATATATATAGATTCATTGGATTCAAATAATTGGCCAACAAGATTCCAGTTATGTTGCAGGAATAGCATTTTCTCGTCTGCAGTGCACTGCCGGCAATTACCAGCAGCATCAGTACCCTGGATTTTGTATGCATTTGTTTTGTATACCCCACTGGTGATTAAATTAATTTCTAATACATGTCATTATTTATGCATAATCTAAAAGTATGGATTAATTAATTAAGCCTTAATGTTTTTCAAGTGTCTTTGTATGTGAATTGAATCAAGAGACTGCGAGAAATTATTATAAATAAACTTTTAATTAACATCCTCCATTATAAGAATTAGGAACATGTCGGAATAGATCATAACGGCGTCGTATTTGCCAATCGATCGCTTAAGGCATATCGTTGAATGATAACATGAAATAATATGGCACATGACATGTATGGTGACATGTCATCATGTGGAATGTTGAGTTGCTACTTGATTATGCCTGCTTACCTGGGAATTCCTGGGACCCAAACTAAATAATTTAATTAATTTATCACTTATCAGTTTGGTGGGCAGATTGGAAATTTGTTCTTTAATTAATTTACCATTTTGTTGTTTGGTGAAGCAGATTTGACAATTTAATTTCCTGGTAAAAGAAGCCAACGGCATTAGCAATTGGGAAATTTTATACTTCAAGGCTAATAAAAATTTTCCCAGCTAGCTAACCTAAAATTGACCTCTCCATTTACAAGTAATCGAATAAGAAAACGCAACAAGATTATGTTGTTTAATAATTAATGGCCAAGTAATTGGAATATCTGAGTTGAATAATAATTAAATTAATACTTTATATTAATGTCTGAGGTAAGATAGACAAAACGTAACCTTTACTTAGTTTGTGGAAATTGACGGGGAGGCATTTACAGCTTTAATTCTTTTTATAAGATGCCAAAATGTGAGTGAAGAAAAAGAATCCCATGAAACTTTTTTAAAAAGAATTAATTAATAAGAAATAAGCATAATTAATTATCATGGTCAAGGTCGTAAAGGAAGAAACCAGATAAGCTAATTAATTAATGAAGAATAAAAATAAATAAATGGAGAAAAGAAAAGACCCTAAAGGCCTAAAGGGCTGCAAATAGAGAAAGGATCAAATCAACTAATTTAGAGGAAGTTTCTGTATGTCTTCATGGTAGTGACCTTCACGTGAGTCAGAAAATGAAAAAAGTTTCCGGGAAAAGAAAAGAAAAGAAAAGATATTCCAATTCCAAGGTGGGAAGCTTTACCTCACTTTCTCGAACCTTTTTAGCCGTGTAAATTGCTAATATTTTCTTGTTGAAAATACCTAAGTGTATTATTAAACGATTAATTAATTTACTAATTGTATAACCTTATTTAATCATTTGATTAAATAAGGTTTTAAAATGAGATTACTTGCATCAATAATTAATCTGCCCAGCTCGCGTATGTGATGACTCCAAGTCTCCAACTACCCATCATGTGAGCTTTTGTTTTTATTAAATAATTGATTTTAATAACATAAAAATGGTCGGTCCATTTCACTGTTACCTCTTATAAAAAAATTCAGTCCAATAATTAAAATTAAACTACAAGTTACATGCATCAGTTGGATCCACTAGTCAAAGTTTTGAAACTCGTCCAAACAATTTCATTTTGATTTAGATATAATAATTGTCAACAAATAAAAATTTAAAAAATTATTATTATTAATTACTGAATAATACAAAAATACTTTTATCTCACTTTAACGGAAGTTTCCATTAAAAAATAATGAGGTTTTACGATTCGAAGACAACCAAACGCATCGTTGCATAAAAGGACAGTCAAGCATGCGAAGTCGGTAGATGATGACGTGTCAGACAAACATGGTCCACCTATTTGAAGGCGCGCCTAGGTCTTGTAACGCGTGCCACGTATCGCTCTTGTCAGAATATCAACAAGGCGCGTGCAAACAAAAACAAATGACGCTCCATCTTCCTTTTATAACCATGTTGTGGGCGCGTCCAAGACCAAACCGTGGCATCCTATTTTTGTAAGTTTTAGGGTTTTACTTGCATGTGGACACCCACGTTACCTTTATTGTGTGGATCATGGTTATTAGTGTCGTATGATTTATTATGTATCTTATAATACAATTTGATATAGGTAGTCAATTATATATATTAAAGAGTATTTTAAACTTTTCGACATATAAATATATATATCTTACGATACAATATGTATCGGTTTATATTCTTAAAAATATTGATACAACTTTATTAATTTAGATTGAAGACCTAAAAATTTTTTTGGGTCACCTAATCCGGTTCATTAAAACCCATCCAAATTTACCAATTTTGCATAGAAAAAGTAAAGAGGAAGATGGGTTAGCTATTTTGTATGAAAATAATAACACAAATGGAGATATAGATACTGACATCAATCTTGGAAATGATACGAATGATTGAGAAAAAATAATATAAATTTTTTATTTTGTAATTAACTTTGATGATGTAAAACTATAATTTAAAACCAAGAAAATCACAAAATTCGTTAATTAATTTTGAAAAAAAATTTATTATTTTTTTGAAAAGATGTATTCGACGATAAGATATAATACCCAGTATAGATTCAAAAAAATTAAATTTTCAATTTACCATACTCGACTTAACACACCATGTGGATAATTAAAATCACAGTAAAAATCTAGCTTAAAGTGTAATTAATAAAAAATGACAAATGAATAATCCGTACAAAATGTAATAGTATGGACAAGATCCCGTGGATTAAGGGATGATTAATTTATAGGTTTTGATTGCACTAAACTTTCGAAACAATCATGACGTGACCATTTATGTATAGAATCTTGCCACCTCATCAGTTGCAGAATTTTCCACAACACACAATTACAACGAATCATTCCATTTCTATTTTAAACTTGTTTGGTTTATCCTCAGTCCACGCGCCTTGACTCAAAACGGAAACATCCTGAAACTTACGGCGCGTTTGTTTACACAACGTCATTTTATAATCACCCAGTAATAACCCGCCACATGCTAAAAATTTACTGCGTCAACGACACGCGAATACAACAATACAACGCGGTTTTCCAGTAATTTCTTTTCACGCGATCCCTTATATGTTTCATTTCCTCCATATTTTCATCTGCGAAACGGCCCCAACCCCCCTCTCTCTCTCCCTGAAATTTGTAAAATTTTCCTGGAAATCTCCATCTTTCCAAGAAAATTTTTCAACTTTTCTTGCTACCCAAATTAAATCCATATGTTGTGCAAATTCCTCTAATATATAATTTTTTTTTTTTTAAGATCTGTCTCTATGTCTTCTATAGTTTCGTCAACGTCTTATTGGTGTTACAGATGCAGCCGGTTCGTTAGGGTTCTGAATCAGGAGGCGATTACATGTCCGGACTGCGACAGCGGATTCGTGGAGGAGATCGAGAATCCGCCGCGCGGCATCCAAACCAACGACATACAAAACCGCAGCAGGAGGAGGTTTCCGGCAACCGCGGCGATGTACATGATCGGTAGTAATAATAATCACAACCACAGTAACCGCTCTAATCGTGATCAGAATGCCTCACCCGGTCCGCTTCTTCGTAGAAGCCGAAGAACCGGCGGCGATCGGTCTCCTTTCAATCCAGTTATCGTCCTCCGTGGACCGGACAGGCCGGTTCCCGGAGCAGATGTTGAAAATAACGGTAACGGTTATGAATTGTATTACGATGACGGTGAAGGCGCCGGTTTGAGACCCTTACCACGAAGTATGTCGGAGTTTTTGTTAGGATCTGGATTTGAACGGTTGATTGAGCAGTTATCACAGATTGATATGAATGGAATCGGCGGTTTTGAGCATCCACCGGCTTCAAAAGCCGCGATTGAATCTTTGCCGTTCGTTTATATCGATGTGAGTTTTGTAGAAATGGAATCACACTGTGCTGTTTGTAAAGAAGCGTTTGAATTAGGATCTGAAGCGAGAGAAATGCCGTGTAAACATATTTATCATTCGGATTGTATACTCCCGTGGTTGTCGCTTCGTAATTCTTGTCCGGTTTGCAGGCATGAATTGCCTGCTGATAATAATCAAGACATAAGTGAAGAAACCGAAAATGGAGCGAATGGGGAAGGACAAGTTTTGGGCTCGAATAATGAGGAGGAGACGGTAGGATTAACGATATGGAGGTTACCGGGCGGAGGGTTTGCTGTGGGGCGGTTTTCGGGAGGAAGAAGAGGTGGTGAAAGAGAGCTTCCGGTTGTTTACACAGAGATGGATGGTGGGTTTAACAATAGCGGAGGTGTGCCAAGGAGGGTTTCGTTTGGTTCAAGAGGGAGTAGAGGAGAGAGAGACAGAGGTGGGTTGATTCAAAGGGCTTTTAGCAATTTGTTTCGGTGTTTTGGCGGGTCAGGCAGGTCGAATTCAGATTCGAGGGTAAGGAGGAGGAGTGGAATGGTTTCTTTGTTTAATATATCCACCCGGAGGAGAAGGGCTTGGGATGTTGAAGTTAACAATAGTAGTGGAAGAAGTTGGTGATAAATGAAGAGAAATTATTTCTTCATTGTATATATTGGGAGAGACTGAGATAAGATTGAAAAGGGTTTCTTCCTAATTCACAGTCCGTTCAAGAATTGAAAGATTGCAAGAATTGCGGAGGGTTCAGTTTACAATAACTAAAGCTGTTATCTTGGAAGAAGATGAAGCAGCTACAGCAGGGACGATCACAATTATGCTTTAATGGAGAAGCTGAGTAATCAATAGTTTGGCATTTGGGGAGAAAGAAGGTACATGACTTCATGTACCAAAATCAATTTGCAAGTTTCATGGATCGAATTAAAGGGCCTGCCGTTTATTACAACTGTTCTTTTTATAATTATTTGTAATTTGTAGCCAGTGATAGTTTGTTTATCATGTTATTCTTTTTCCAAGAAATCTATAAGAGTCTTATCCAGCGTATGAAAGCGTTGTTTCTGGAATTCTTTGATTCAAGTTTAATCTCAAACATCTGAAATCCCTTTTTGATCACTGTCGTTAAAGCTTTGTTTTGAACCAATTCAAGATTTTGACTCGATGGAAAGTTTTATATATATATATATATATATATGAATAACTTCTCCATTTGACGTTGAAAGCGGAGAAATTGCCCGTTGAACTACTGTAGATGATGATATTTTGTCTGTTTTTAATGTTAGAAATGTGTCATATTCTTATCATGGAAATTTGAGAAACTCCTTCCTTCACTGATGTTGAGGATCATGATTTTAATGTTTTTAAAATTCATGGTTCCAGAATCTAATCTTGATTTTGTGGTTGTGGCATATTAAATTGATTGGTGAAGTTGTGATTAGTGAGGAAAGTATATTATATTAATGAAGACAATGTGTTAGAATGGAATCAGAGATCTTATTCTAGTCAATAAATTCAAGAAATCAATTTATTATTTAATGATGTGATTGGTGATCAGCAATTAGGTTGGGAATCAGATTAGTGGGGTTATTATGTAAGATATTGAAAGCTTTACAGTTGGGATTGACCTGTATAGTTGCATCATAAACTCATATGCAGACAAGTTTAGTGATTGATAAAAGTTGCCAATTTGGAATTCTGATAGTCTCTGTTCAACTTCATGACCTTTTCCACCTTCTTCTGAGTTGAAAGGTCTATATAATTGTGGCCAGAAGTCTGACCAATCATATGGTCTTCCCTGACACACGTTATTTTCAGGATTTTTCTTCAAAATTGATGACAGGGGTTTGGTGCAGATGATGATATAATTGCACATGTATAAGCATCTCAATTTCCTTTTAAACTTTTACTCAACCCAAAAATATCTCAAAGGGGATTCGATTCCATTCTTCACTCACGTTTGGAAGGTAAACTGAATGAAGAGAATAAAATCTTTATCCCAGATGAGATTTCCATAGTTTGTTTCATTTTACAGGGACGAGAATATGTTTGATATTAAGCGATGTTCTGAGTTTGATGTTGTTAGTGTGATGTGGATAGTAGCTTTGTTGTGCTGCCAGCAAATTAATAGATTGTGGGGAAAGTAGTTCAGATTGCAAAAATTCAAAGGATTGGGACCCATATATCTCTTTCAACCCTCCACTTGTTCTGATCATTATTATTTATTATTAAAACATTAATTGTTATTTAATTTTGCAGTTTTCAGAAAGGCCCATCAGAGGGTTGGGCAATTCTATAACTGGGCTTCATTCATATTTGAAACAAAAACATAGGGCCCTCGATTTCAAGGAGGTGGCACCCCATTTGGTTCGTTGGTTTCTGTCAAATTATTAAAACTTGTATTGTTGTGGGGTCAAACTAAAGCATTGATTGAAATTTGAAATTGTGACCAATGTATTCGATACAAAATGGTTTTCGATCTTCATTTAATAGTTTTCACATATGAAAACATGACTTATTATTATCCATAAAAACAATAGTACAACAGACTCTTTATTATTTAAATATAAATTAAAGAGTGAGGTTGATTCTCTACATTTATAGAGTCAAATTTTACTCTCTATCATAATTTTAAATAATAAATTATAAGTTTCTATGTATTTTATAAATGATTTATCTTTTTTATTAAGTTTCTTTATTAAAAAAACATATTTTTTCTCCTAAAATTTAAAGAGTTTATTAGATTTGAATAAACATCTTGTTATTTATATTTAAAAACCAATGAAGATGCTCTTTATTTATATGAAAGATACTCTTTAAAATAAATAGCATCATTAAAGATGCTATAAAGAGTTTATCCATTAAAACAAGAGTCCAACAGATTCTTTATCTTTAAAATATAAATTAGAGAGTGAGTTTGACTCTCCACATTTAGAGAATCAAATTTCACTTTCTATTCTAATTTTAATTAATAAACTACAAGTTTTTATGTATTTTATTTATTAGTTCTCTCTCCCATTAAGTCTATTTCTTAAAAATAAAGAGTATTTTCATTAAATTTAAAGAGTCTATTGGATTTTAATAAAAATTATGTTCTTTATATTTAAAAATTAATGAAGATGCTTTTTATTTATATGAAATATGCTCTTCAAAATAAAGAGTATCATTGGAGATGCTCTTATATAATATTTGGCAAAAAATCTACAATACCCATATGCATAATTGTGGTAATAATATGTTAAACGTTAAAAATTTAACGTTTTTAATACATTATTTGAAAATGAAAGATTGACGATAGGAGTGAAAAGGTTAAAAGAAAGAATGAAATATGATATTCCTGAAAGGTCAACCGTGAAGTCCATCTTATTATAAGAGCAATAATTGAATGGTGTTTTTTTCTTCTCCACAACTTTGAAATTATTTTAGAAAAATTAATAAGAATTGAATGTAAGTGGGGTCTTGGGTATTGAATGAAAACGTGTGAGGATGGCTAAGAATCAAATTCAAAATCACTCTCTGCTTGAATCTTACCTTCTCTTTTGATTATGAAACATCAACTAATTTATTTTGTTTTTTCATGCTTTATTTATTTTAAACCCTACTCCTTTAGTGACATAAACTATATATATATAGTTTAATTTTAAATTTAATAATGAAATTATAGGTTATGAATTTGAAAACCCTAAAAGAACATCAATCATAATCATGAAGGTCGGCATAAAGAGATCAGAAATGAAGAAATTAAAAAGCTTTTTGAATTCATGAGAAAAATGAATAATGTATTCTATTAAAATGTTGTTCACCTTTTAAATTTTCCTGGTGTAGGTTTTGTCTCTCTGAATTAACGTGTCTTACTCAAATCCAGTTGGTGTTTAGAAAAAAAAGACAATTGGGTGGACTAGAAAATTGAGCAAACTCCATTAATTCAACATTATCGTTTCAACAGATGGTCCAGAGTTTAGAATCTGTAATTTTCAATCTTCAACATGCCGTCTAATGCTCTGTCATTTTATGAAGAAAACGTGTTTAATCATTACACAACCAGACAATGTTCTCATTAAATAGTAGATTGAGATTGATCTTCACCCTTCACAAACTCCCCCACAACTACACAGCTTTAACCCTAAAATACTGTTGGAATGACGTTATACCCTGCAATATTATGATATTGTTCTTATTTGGTGCGTTTACTTTGTATTATTTCTTAAACAACTACATGCATGTCCAGAAAACTTTTTTGTTATAAGTTGGAGAAATCTCAAACCTCGTGAAGGGAATTTGGTGTTTTGTTGTTTGGTTTTATTGTTCCAGACATATTTTTGTTTTAGCTGTTTCTGCATTTTTCTTCGTCAGCTTTCATTCTGAGTTGGAAATTTTTCTTCAACAGTTAATGGCATTAATTAATTACTATTTTAGATTATATGATTTGAATTTGACAATCATATAATAAGGTTTTAATTATTAATCTCATTTATAATATGTAACATCAACATGTATATCCATAAAATGATCTGTAAAACATAAAATTCATCGTATTAAAAAGAGCTTTTTTAGGTGGAAATTTATAGAAAACAAAATTAATATTAATTGATTGGAGTAGCACAGTAGAGTTGGTAAAGCTTTGGTTCCCCACACAGGAGAGGCCAAATTCTCAATTATCCAGGTTTGCCGAAAGTTTCAAACCTTTATTTAATAATGTTCAATAAGTTGAATTAATAAAATAATTAATTGATGTTTGATTAGTCAAGATTTAATTAAGATTTTCTCATTAGGTTATTTTGTTAAGTAAATTAGGGTTTTGTTTTGTCCCCAGTTGTACCTTCTAGATATTGTTTCTTTTAAAAGGGTTTTTGTCGGCATTAATCCTAAATTACAAACAAATGATAATAATATTTAATTTATTGTGTAAATTTTTTTTTTTAAATACATTAAAAATAAATTATACGCAGTAGGAAACCAAAGGGCCTTAAAAGAAGTAATGGTTGTAAATAAGACTGCGCAAAGCGCATTAAACTAAAAAATAATACAAGCATATGTCCAAGTCATACACGAAACACTATAACTCTAAACCCAATATAAATTAAACTAACTTATTATTCATCGTGTCCGTACTAATCCTCGAGAAAGACTATAACAACAAGTCAGCATCTACGTTACAACCCTCGACTTAAATCTTTGAAGGCAAGAAGTCTCGAACCTTTGATTGTTGATTATTCATTATTCATTGGAATACCTTCTAAGTAAATATTTATTTATTAATATTCCTTGTAGAATGGCCTAAAATAGGAAAAAATATAATATTTCATTAAAAAAAAAAAAAAACAAATGAATAAAGTTAAATATAAGAAGTAAGGGATGACCACATTATTGGTCACATCTTTAATTGCTTTTGCTTCCAACTCAATATTACTTAGCCTAACCATGAAACAAGCATAATTTTTTTGGGTAATATTTTAAAAATATTTCCTAATTAAAGTAATTTATTTTTGGTAATATCACAATAATAATAAAGATTAGATTATAGTTTTATTATAGAATATTTGGTATAATTAAAGTAAATATTTTTTGGTAATATCTTAAAAACGTTTCCTGATTAAAAAAATATAAAAGAGTGGAACAATAAAAACCGGACGTACACTTTGAGTTTGAATGCATGTCTGACTTCGTTTCACATCCTTGTATTTAAACACAGGCGAAGCTCCATCCCACCATACGACACCACTCACTCAACCAAACCATTCCAAACGCAGACAGATAACCCCACCAACTCTCTAATGGCTTCTTTCCTTTTTTCTATTCTTCGTCTCACAATTTTCCTCCTTATTTTCCATTCAAAACTCTGTTTTCCCTCGAAACAAACACTCTTACTGCCCCTCAAAACTGACACCGTTCGTCGCGTTTCTTCGCCAACAGCCACCACAAGCAAGCTCCCGTTTCACCACAACGTCAGCTTAACCGTCTCTCTTCGAGTTGGCTCGCCGCCGCAAAATGTCACCATGGTTCTCGACACTGGCAGCGAACTTTCATGGCTCCACTGTAATAAATCACAAAACTTTAACTCCTTTTTCAACCCTCTTGCTTCCTCTTCATATTCAACCATTCCTTGCTCTTCTTCTGTTTGCACGACCCGAACCCGGGACCTGCCGATACCCGCTTCATGTGATAGCAAGAAGCTCTGCCACGTCAGCGTCTCATACGCAGACTTGACTTCTATTGAAGGTAAACTTGCCACTGAAACCATGTCAATGGGCTCGTTAACACAACGCGGGTTCATATTCGGGTGCATGGACTCGGGTATTAGTACTAGTTCTGATGAAGATTCAAGAACAACCGGGTTAATGGGCATGAACCTTGGGTCGTTATCTTTCGTTACTCAAATGGGGTTTCCCAAATTCTCGTATTGTATATCGGGTTTTGACTCGTCTGGTGTTTTAATTTTCGGGGACGTGAAATTGTCGTGGCTTAAACCGTTAAATTATACTCCTATGGTTAAAATGTCCAAACCGTTACCGTATTTTGATCGGGTGGCATATAGTGTTCAACTTGAGGGCATAAAAGTTGGGAGTAAGTTGTTGAATTTACCAAAATCTTATTTTGTACCGGACCATACCGGGGCGGGTCAAACAATGGTTGACTCGGGTACACAGTTCACTTTTTTAATGGGTCCGGTTTACAGTGCTCTAAGAAATGAGTTTTTGCAACAAACAAAAGGGATATTGAGAGTCTTGGATGACCCGAATTTCGTATTTCAAGGTGCAATGGATTTGTGTTATCTAGTCGAGTCGACTCGGCGAAACTTGCCCGAGTTGCCTGTGGTGAGTTTATTGTTTACAGGGGCGCAAATAAGTGTTTCGGGTCCAAGATTATTGTATCGGGTACCCGGTATGGTGAAGGGTGGAAAGGATTCGGTGTATTGCTTCACATTTGGTAATTCTGATCTGTTGGGTATAGAGGCCTTTGTGATTGGCCATCATCATCAACAAAACGTTTGGATGGAGTTTGATTTGGCTAAATCTAGGGTGGGCTTCACTGAATTTAGGTGCGATATTGCTAGTAAAAAACTTGGGATTGGCGTCTAAGTGACTTTTTTTTTTTTTTTTTCCTTTTTTAATTTATTATTATTTTTAATTTTTAGTAATAGGAAAATTTAGAGAGAACTTGTAAATTGCATTAAATCTCTCCTTACAAAAACAAATGAATATAGAATTATCGGTTTTAATTCTTTTTTTTTATGGTTGACCCATTGATTCAAAGTTGTACAACGTGTTTGGCTAGGATTGAAAATTATCAAGTGGACTATATCTTATCAAAATTAATTTACATTAATATTATTTTATTTGTGATTCTGGGAATCTCTGTCAAGTTAGGTGGTGTAGGGGCCAGAGAATCAATCTGATTTGTGTAAGGCGGCAGTTCGGTTGATTATATAAGTAGGGGCCACAAATTCTGGTTTCTGGATATGGAATTAATTGTAAGTAAGATAACAATTAACGGTAGATGTAGAGTGTTTGAGTGAGTATGTACGATGTGCAATGGCGGTGCAATGCATGGCATCAGAAAAGATTCGGCTTTTGGGGTCTGGAGTTGCGTATGAAACTCTGAAGCCACTGTGGGTTTACTCTGACCGCCAACCTGGCATTTTTGAAAAGCCGTCTTGTGGTTTCCCACTCAGACAAGAGGCTTTAAAATGAATAATACTACAAACCGAATTTGTGTACTGTAATTTTTTTTACAGAACGATGTACCATCCACTAAGATGCCCCTATATTAAACAAAAAATATTGATTATGTGAATGAACGGTCATCTATCTTACGCAAGCGGATCTCTGTACCTTATGGACAATCGTTAATGAACGATTATCCACTACAATATTAATGGGATCATCCACTATAATATTAATGAAATTCTATTCATATAATATGAACGAGTGTCCACTTATTATAAATGTGCGTCTATATACAATGGACAACAGTCCGCGTAAGATGGATGGTTAATCCATACCCAAATTTTAGTTTAATAAAAAAATTTCTTTAAAAAATTCTACATTGTGAATACTTTTTATCTATCTCTCTTGCTTTGCATTTTTCTTTATAAATGAAAAAAAAATTGTAAATTTTAAAAAAAATTATTTAAGTATGGATGCCAGTCCATCTAATGAGGATGGTCGATCATTAGATGGACTAGCGTCCATGCTTTTTACTTTGAAAATCAATTTTTTTTTCCTTGATTTCATCTAAAAGTTTTGTGCTTTAAAAATAAATATTTCATCTAAAAATTTTGACTTAGACAAGTGATAGTTTTTTATAAATGAAAAAGAAATTTTAAATTTAAAAAAAAAAAATATTTGAGATGGACAGTCGTCCATTTATGATGAACGGTTGTCCATGGTAAAAGGACTCCCGTCCATAAGACCGGAGTCCATTGATATTTCCTGGACTCTCGTTCATTTATGATGAATGGTTGTCCATAAGATATGGACGGGCGTCCACAGTTGTTGGACGACCGTTCATTCACAAAATACCTGTGTTGTGTCCTACGTGACCATGTTCGAGTTTGATGCCAAATAGATCGGTGCAAAATTTTGATACCAATATTAGGTGTTCGTAGCATTTTTGTTTTAAAATACTCTTCTTGTGTAATAACAATTTACAAATTTTAAATATTCAGAGCTTTTATTTGAATTGAGTAATTACATTTTTATAAATAATTTGTAAAAAGGAATATAATAAATAAATTGAATTTGATATATATAAATTACACTATACATATATCATAGCTGTTTTTGGAATTAATAAATTTATAGGGTTGGATACCGGGACATGATTTTTTAACTATTTTGCTGACATTCTTAGTAAACCGTTCATTTGTGTAGATCCAACAATGATAAGATAAAATATGTTGAGTGGGTATTAAATTAATTATTTTTAACTTAACATTTGTCACTTTTTAATTATTAAAAATGAAAGATTCATTCACGAGGAGTATTCAAAAATTAAGTCAAAAGTCTTCTAACCCAATTATGAAATGGGTTCAATGTCTAATTATGAAATCCCTGGAAAAAAAAAAGGGGATGAATTGAAATATAGATGTTTCACCAAAACTAGGTGTAAAGAACCAACCCTAATTTTCGTCTCTTAATATTAGTATCGGCCCAATAGAGTACTTTTGCCATTGGTATTATTTCCAATCTCCAATAACACTACGGACACCGAAATTTTTACACCGAATTTTTGTACCGGCCGACGTGGAACGCGTTCTCCCATTTCTTTATAATTTTTTTCTAGTGAACGACAGTCCATCAAATTTGGACGGCCGTTCACTCACATGGACGCCCGTCCATCAAATATGGACAGGCGTCCATATGCCAGGGACGGGTGTCCGTAAGTAATGGACGCCCGTCCCTATTAAAATAAAATAAAAAAATTTGTAAAAGCTTAGGGACGGCCGTCCATCCACTATAGACGGCCGTCCGTTAATTTTGGACGGGCGTCCACGAATAATGGACGCCCGTCCCTTTTGTAAAGGACGGTCGTCCAACCCTTATGGATGGCCGTCCATAATGTTATTAAAAATTAAAAAAAAAAAAAATTTCGCGTTTTAGGTTAAAACATTTGGGGGAAGTTTCAAATTTTTTTTATTTTCACAGGCAGCCATTACCATCTTCTTCGTCTTCCATCTGCGTCTTCGCGGTGTTTTTCTTCTGGACTCTCTGCGCTTCTTCTTCGTCTTCGCGGTAATTAAACAGTTTCCTTTTTGAAGTTTTTTTTTTTGAAATTTTTGTTTTTGGTTGGATGAATGTGTTGAATGGAGTTGAGTTGATGAGATAAAATCCAGTCAATTTGGTGGGACTGGTTTGTGTGATTATGAATAGAAGTGTTCTGCCGTGAATGATAAATGGAGTTTATTTCAAAAAAATGGTTTGTGTAAACTACCGTGAATGAAAAATTGGTTTTAGGCTATGTATAAATTGATTTTAGGCACAATTTAGACACATTTGATTCCCCGAAAACAAGGATAACAATACACGATATACACGATATGGAAACGATATGGAAACAGAGAATGTTTGCTTGATAATCAGTAAGATAATGTACATGGGTGAGAATGGTTTAATTTGTCATGTGAAGCTGATGGATTAATTGAGTATGGATTAAACGATATGGAAACAAGCTGATGATTTAATTTGTTTTAAGTTTTACAGATAATGTATATATATATGTGAGTTCTGGTTTGCTTAATTTGTCCAAAAGGATAACAATTGATTAGAAACAATTAATCCCAGTCCATAGTTCGAATAAGAAAATGTCCCTTGGTTTCAGCAGAAGCCATAAGACATTAGAAAAAGGGTATCTAAAAAACAGGTGATCATGTAAGTCCCTGGGCCCTCCACACAATTCCACCTCAGAATTTCAGGACCCCTCCAAATTCTCATCCTATCCTGAGTAAGCAACTGGTAAGTGCATAACAAGAGAAAAAAAACACATAAAGTGGCAGCCAAATGAGCAAGAAGCTCACAGCTAGGGTACCATGGCGCTCTCCTTTAGTGTCTTCTTATAAGCAATGACAGTAATTTGCCGGTTACAAAGGTACTGACCATTCATTGCCTATTGACAATTAAATCAATTAGAATGAATCAACTTTTGAACAAAATAAGACAAACCGAGTCATAAATGTTCATAAATGTTCATGGACTGTTAGTCTTCCAAAGCCCTAACATGTTAAGCTGAACTGAACTTGATCCCATTTAAATTTGGACTTCTAACAATTTCTAAGCATAAACATTAGAGGAAACCCATTACAAATTCAGCAACAAGAACATGATGGTTTACTTTTTGCTTATGAGTTATAGTCATACCTGAGTTGCTTGAAAATGCAATTGAAAACAACTTTGATTGTTCTGTCGTTCCTCCATGACTTGAACATTTTTAGGTTCGGATAAAAGCTTATAGTTTTGTCAGTGAATCTTTGTTAAAAGTATCCACTCACTCATTGGGATGTGGCAATGATAATGCCGCTTGTTTGGAACCTTTTTGCAGCAAAATTTAGAGGTGGGTGAGTAGGACAGAAACGATTAGTTTAATTTTTGTTACAACAGATAGCAAACCAGAGGCTCCAGTCCAGTTCAGCTTAACATGTTAAGGACATTAAAATAATAAATGTTGTAGACAACTTAGAAAATAATAAATGTTGCAAATCTTGATCTACGAAAACGATGACTAGTTGAAAAATGATGACTAGTTGAAACTGCATGTTAGCTTCAATATTTGAGCTGTGTGTTTGACATCTCTTAAGGTACTATTTGAGCTAGTGTCTTCGGCAGATTATGATGAGTTTTTTAATGTATACAGGTTTTAGAGAAAGCAGAAAATGGTGAGGGCAAAAAATACAACCGTTCCTCAGGAAGGCACATCCTATCTGACTTCAATTTCGAGACTGGCGACATAAAAACAATACGAGGACGTGTCGAAAAGAGATATTTACCTTGGAAGAAGTTTGGATTTAGGACTTCTAACAAGTTTAGGTTAGGTGATGAATCAATGGTTGGATTATAATTTGAAATGGGACCGTTTAGTCAGTATGAGATATGATGGATATAGGATTTGTATTGAGTTTTTTGGTAGTTTGGAAGTTTAGAGACAGACACTGAGAGTTTCAGGCGTATACAATGTTCTTTAAATTAAAGAATCAGAACTTTGTAGTGACACCAGATTTAGCAACCTGGATAGGATTTGATTGAAGGTTTGGAAAACGTACCTAGAAACTGGGATTTCAAACAAGCTTGGATTGTGTTTCCGGAATAGGGACTTACCATCCACATAGGTGTAAATCTACAAAATTACAGAATCCTGGTATGAGAGTATTTCACAGATACTTGACTTTCACATTTAATGGTAGGAAAGAGACAAATGGAAATGTGACGGTTAAGGATTATTGTTCATGGAAGCGCAGTGGCAGGGAGGCAAGTTAATTCAGCAAAGTTATTGATTAAGAAGTGGGAGAGATCCCTGCAGAGAAAGGACAAATATATTGGGGTGCTGGTTACGTTATATGTGAGAAGTTGAATATGAGATCACCCCTGATGATGCAAAAAATAAGATTACGTTTCTACAACTAATGTGTTGGGGGATGTGACATTGAATGGAATGGGTTTGATTAAAAAGAATGTGGCAGGACAATGGTATCTTATTAGGGATGAAATCGAGGGAGATGCAACGGTTCAA